AAAGAACCGCAAATTTAAATTTACAGTCTATCCAGAAGCCGAGAGGGTTACCTTGATTTCACAGTAATGAGGAAGTTGCTCCAGGCGGGGTAACTTCGCTCCAACCCGCAGTTTGCTTTGGTTTCTCAACAATTCTCTGCAACCCCCATTGCACAATTGCGTTATCGAATCGCATTCTTGGGCACAATCTCTTGTTACCTAACCGCTAGGTCGATGGAAGATACGATCTCCACCTTTCTGCTCCAGTTGGTCAGGCGGTCAGTGTTGACCCTGAGCTTTCCTTTCTGTTGTGCAAGTTACGGAGGAGCCCCTTTGACTAGCACACCATTTTGTTGAGGGTCACATCAGAGTTGTGTTGGATTTTGAGGGGGGGGGAGGCCAGCTCAATGTTACTCATGGGGGAGGTGCCTGTGGTGGCCAAGTGCCAAAGCAGGCCTTCCCTCTCATTATAATCTTCCTTCCCCTTTCTCCTTCCTTCCTCTTTCCCCCTTTCTCCTTCCTTCCTCTTTCCCCCTTTCTCCTTCCTTCTTCCCTCTTTCTCCTTCCTTCCCCCTTTCTCATTCCTTCCTTTTTTTTCCTTCTCCTTTCTTCTTCCTTCCCGTTTCCTTTTTTTTCCTTCCTTGCTCTCTTCCCATCTCTCCTTCTTTTTCTTTCCTCTTTCCCTTTCTTCTTTCCTGTCCCTTCATGCATGCTCAAATGCAAAAGGAGAAACATTTCTCCTTTTTTGTTTTTACTTTGTTTTGCTAGCCCTCTGGCAGTGAAATCGGAGCTATGGGGGTGAGCACAGAGGCACTGCAGGCCGGTCCTTTTCTATTTCAAGGGCAGCCCCTCGGGCCAGATCTTAGCATCCCTTGTTTGACACCCCTGGACTAGGACATTTCTGCGCTGAAAAAACTTTGAGAAATTAACACCAATGCAAACGAAAGCTTGGCTTATGTATAAATAAGGAAAACCTGTTTTCCTCCCCCCCACGGGGAAAGGATAAAGAAAATCCACTTTGTGGTTTCTTATCTCTTGGAAAAATTCACTCCATATATGTACACACACACACACACACACACTCAATTCACGACCGCAATCAAAGCCCAACATGTCTGTCATTGAGTGGAATATCAATTAAGTGAAATTTGCCCTTAGTTTACTACCTTTCTTGCCACCGTTGTTAAGCGAATCACTGTAGTTGTTAAGTTAGTCACACGGCTGTTAAGTGAATCGGGCTTCCCCATCAACTTTGCTCATTGCAAAAGGGGATCACATGACCCATGGGACACGGCAGCCGTTATAAATACGAGTCAATTGCCAAGTATCTGAATTTTGATCACAGGACCACGGGGATGCTACACAGTCGCTGCAATGGGTCATAAGTCCCTTTTTTTGGTGCTGTCTTAATTTGAATGGTCACTAAATGAACTATTGCAAGTCAAGGACTATGTATGTATGTGTATATATGTCTGTGTGTGTCTGTGTGTAATTTATTAACGTCCCTCTTGCTCAAGAGCTTGGGGAGCTCTGCTCCCTTCCACTGTACTGTTCTGACCAAGGCTTCCCAAGAGCCTGAAGCAGACTTCTGGTCCCAACAAAAACCCCTTTTATTAATTTATGGTGAATTCTGCTCATTCACATCCAGCAAAGTCTTGAGGGAGGATTTACAGTCACAGACCTTATCTGGCTTGGAGAGCTGCCAGGACGAGATCTGTAGAACTTGGCAAGGAATCTTGGAGAGTCACTAACCAATTAAGCAAACTAATTGTCTCCTGCAAACTGCACTCCCCTTTCACTCCTCTTTTTATTTCCTCTGGGAGGGGTCATTCATCGTCCACCTGTCGCCTTACTCTCAAGCTGACCTATGTTCTTTAGCTGTTCCCTTCGTCTGGCAGCTCTGCGCATGTGCAACACTGGGAACAGGCTCCAGCTGTTCTGCTCCACTGATGTCTGACTCTGAAGGCAGCTGATAACTGGCAGATGGCCCTGGCCCCCTCTCTGCCTCTGACACAGAGCCCTCATCCGAGCCTTCCCCTGACTCCAGGACTGGCCCAGGTTCCTCCCCAACCTCCTCATTGTCTGAATCTATTGCCAGCTGGGGTGGAGGGAGGCCTTTGCCCTTGGGTGAAGAAATTATTGCCCAGCCTTGTTTTCAATCAACCCCTCCCCTCTTTCTTCTTGGAAAGCAATTTTTCATAGGGCGGGGACAGCCCTGTCTGTACTTTCATTATAATATTTATGTGTGTAATGATTTCCAATGAGCAAACATTCCTCCGCCCACGTCATGGCTGGCTGTGTACTTTATTTCTCCGCCTATGCAACCGGCTTTGCCAAAAAGATAAAATAAAAAGCAATACCCTTATTTCCCCTGAAAATAAGACCTAACGAAAATAAATCCTTAGCATGATTTTTGAGGATGCTTGTAAGATTAAACCCTACCCCAAAAATAAGCCCCAATGTTGGTTAGATGGATGCCGTATTTAGTTAGTTTTAGTTTAGTTATTACACCTTGTATAACAAAATTAAATGTGATCTTCAGGGTACAATGGCAGTTCAGGTTGTGGTTGTTAAGGAATCCTGTGCAGTCATTAAGCACAACAGGTGGCGGCTGGTTTCCTCATTGACTTGAGTTATTGGAAGCTGGCAGTGAAGGTCACAAGTGGGGATGATGTGATTGAAAAGCTGTGACCATTGCAACTGTGTGCCAGTTGCCAAGCACCCCAATCATGATCCTGTGACCGTGGGGACATTGCAACAGCCACAGCTTCAAGGACCGGCAATAAGTCATCTTGTTGAGCATTGTTATAACTTCAAATGGTTGCTGAGCAAGAACTCACAAAGTGAGGACTACCTGTATAGTCCAAAGCCCTTCCCTGTCTCTCATGGTTGACACAGCATAATGATACCCCTGATGACAACAATTCGACCAACCCCTTGGTGGGTTCCGTAGTGCTCTGGGGGTCTCTGGCCTGCTGGCAAAACCTTCATCTCTTCATGATTTTTGAAAGAATGTCGGTGAGAGGCAATCTTATTATTATTTCTGCAAGGATGATGTTCCACGTATATCTTCAATTCCTCTCCGCTTAAAAAGAGCACCGGCATGACACCCTCTCTTTCACTCCCTGTCCCTCCGTTTTCTCCTCCTCCTCCTTCCTGCAGGGATAGTAATCCATGGCTCTCCCCCAGGGGGCCTAGCTACGTCCTCTGGTATTTTATGAGAACATATAAAATTGTCTGTAATAGCCTTTTCCCATTTCAATCCGATTTGTAACAAGGCCTGCCAGCTATAGGTGCCCCTTGGCCCACAGGCTTCATCCATGTGCACAGTTGTCTTGAATGGCAGCTGGAACTAACTTAACTTCCTTAAGCTCTTCTGTGCATGCTCCTTCTAGAGAGGTCGAAGGAGGATGTTGTGGCCAACTTTTCCAAAGGCTAGCTAAAGGCTTGCCAACTAT